TCTTCTTTAGCAATAATGGAGCAAGATGAGAGGGATGAGACCGTGCTCGACATGGCAAGGAAACTCCAAACATATGCAGATGCTGTACATGGCCCAACCCATGCCAGAATTGCAGCAGTGGAAACGCGTCTGCAGAAATTAGAAGATAAGATAGAGGAGAATCATAAGAGACTCAGGGAGGAGATTAAGGAGGACCTTCTCCAAATCTCAGCAATACAGATCAGAGGTTCTGGTATCCAACGCAGATGTTCCTCAGATGGCGAGTGAAGGTACACCCCAAGAGCTGAGCTGTGGTTCTTCTTGCGCGATTGTGGAGAAAACATGAGGAAATGGGACGGAAAACCTACTGGTGCTCTGGCACAACGTGTGCATGAATTGAAGGAAGGTAAGACTCAGAGAGGAAGTGCCACCAAAAGGAGAGCAGCTCCAGTTGCCCGTAGCCAGACTGTCAGGCCTGATGATGATGATGACATGTCTGATCCCTTTGAAGGAACCTCTAAGACATACGCCCAAGGCAAGAAGGATAACCAGGCTTAGAGGGGCCCTGCCTCTAGCCAGGTAGAGGCGAGGGTAAATTGTGTTTTCTGGACTGTGTGGATTCGCTGGCCTGGCACATCGGAACCACAAAGATATAAGGCTTTGGTTGATACTGGTGCACAATGCACGTTAATTCCATCGAGACATGTAGGGGCAGAATCTGTCTCTATTTGCCAGTGTGACAGGTGGATCACAGGACTTTACCTTGGTGGAAGCTGATGTAAGTCTGACAGGAAATGAGTGGAAGAAACACCCTGTTGTGACTGGCCCAGAGGCCCCATGTATTTTGGGCATAGATTACCTTCAAAGGGGGTATTTTAAAGACCCAAAGGGACTCATGTGGGCATTTGGGATAGCAGCTGTGGTGACAGAGGGCATCCAGCAATTGAACACCTTGCCTGGACTGTCTGAGAATCCACCTACAGTAGGACTTTTGTAGGGAGAAAACAAAAGGTGCCAATTGCCACTTCAACAGTGCATCGTCGACAGTACAGAACAACCCGAGATGATGTGGTTCCCATCCATAAGATGATCCGAGAGCTGGAGAGCCAAGGGGTGGTCAGCAAAACCCACTCACCCTTCAACAGCCCCATTTGGCCTGTGCGTAAATCTGAAGGAGAATGGAGATTGACAGTGGACAACCGTGCATTGAATGAAGTGACTCCACCACTGAGCGCTGCTGTGCCAGACATGCTGGAACTCCAGTACGAGCTGGAGTCCAAGGCAGCAAAGTGGTACGCCACTATTGATATTGCCAATGCATTTTTCTCCATTCTTCTGGCAGCAGAATGCAGGCCTCAGTTTGCCTTTACATGGAGGGGAGTGCAGTCTACCTGAAACTGACAGCCCCAGGGGTGGAAGCACAGTCCTACCATCTGCCATGGACTGATCCAGACTGCACTAGAAAAGGGTGAGGCTCCAGAACATCTACAATATATTGATGATATCATTGTGTGGGGGAACACAGCAGCAGAAGTGTTTGAGAAAGGAGAGAAAATCATCCGAATCCTCCTGGAAGCTGGTTTTGCCATCAAGAAGAGTAAAGTGAAGGGACCTGCTCGAGAGAGCCAGTTCTTGGGAGTGAAGTGGCAAGATGGACGGCGTCAGATTCCTACAGATGTCATCAACAAGATAACAGCTATGTCCCCACCAACCAACAAGAAAGAGACACAAGCTTTCTTAGGCACCATCGGTTTCTGGAGAATGCATATTCCTGAGTACAGTCAGATCGTGAGTCCTCTCTACCTGGTTACCCACAAGAAGAATAATTTCCACTGGGGCCCTGAGCAGCAGCAAACTTTCGCCCAGATAAAGCAGGAAATTGCTCATGCAGTAGCCCTTGGCCCAGTCAGGACAGGACCAGATGTGAAGAACGTGCTCTACTCTGCAGCTGGGAACCATGGTCTGTCCTGGAGCCTTTGGCAGAAGGTGCCTGATGAGACTCGAGGCCAACCACTGGGATTTTGGAGTCGGAGCTACAGAGGGTCTGAAGCCAACTATACCCCAACAGAGAAGGAAATCTTGGCCGCCTACAAGGGAGTCCAGGCTGCCTCAGAGGTGATTGGCACAGTAGCACAACTCCTCCTGGCACCCCGACTACGGGTGCTGGGGTGGATGTTCAGAGGAAAGGTTCCCTCCACCCACCATGCCACCAGTGCTACATGGAGCAAGTGGATTGCTCTCATCACGCAGCGTGCCCATATTGGTAAACTGAATCGCCCTGGGATTTTGGAAGTAATTACAAATTGGCCCAAAGGTGAAAGTTTTGGTGTCACAGATGAAGAAGAAGAACCAGTGACAAGGGCTGAAGAAGCTCCACCATATAACCAACTGCCAGCAGAGGAAACACACTATGCTCTCTTCACTGACGGTTCCTGTAGCATTGTAGCGATGAATCAGAAGTGGAAAGCAGCTGTGTGGAGTACCACACGACGGGTTGCAGAGGCCACTGAAGGAGAAGGTGGATCAAGCCAGTTTGCTGAACTTAAATCCGTTCAACTGTCCCTAGACATTGCAGAAAGGGAGAAGTGGCCAAAGCTCTACCTCTACACTAATTCACGGATGGTAGCCAATGTACTGTAGGGGTGGCTAGAGAGGTGGAAAGAGGCTAACTGGCAGCGTAAAGGAAAACCAATTTGGGCTACTGAAGAGTGGAAAGATATCACTAACCGGGTAGAGAAGCTACCTGTGAAGGTTCACCATGTAGATGCCCATGTTCCCAGAAGTAGAGCTAATGAAGAGCAGGAAAAAAATCAGCAGGTAGATCAGGCTGCAAAGACAGGGGTGTCAAAGATAGGCCTCAATTGGGAACACAAGGGAGAGTTGTTCCTAGCACGATGGGCCCATGATGCCTCAGGTCATCAGGGTAGAGATGCCACGTATAAGTGGGCATGAGACCTAGGGGTGGATCTAACCATGGACAGTATTTCTCAGGTGATCCATGACTGTGAGACATGTGCTACCATCAAACAGGCCAAGATGGTGAAGCCCTTGTGGTATGGTGGGCAGTGGTCCAAGTACAAGTATGGGGAGGCCTGGCAGATTGATTGCATCACACTGCCCCAGACACGCCAAGGCAAGCGCTATGTGCTCACAATGGTAGAAGCCACCACAGGATGGTTGGAAACCTACCCAGTGTCTCATGCTACAGCCCGTAACACCATCCTGGGCCTTGAAAAGCAGGTCCTTTGGAGGCATGGTACCCCTGAGAGGATTGAGTCAGATAATGGGACTCATTTCAAGAATAGCCTTATCAACACCTGGGCTGGGGAACATGGCATTGAGTGGGTGTACCACATCCCCTACCATGCACCAGCTGCAGGCAAAGTGGAGAGGTACAATGGACTGTTAAAAACCACCTTAAAAGCATTGGGTGGGGGATCTTTCAAAAATTGGGAGCAACATTTAGCAAAGGCCACCTGGTTAGTTAACAGCCGAGGTTCCACCAATCGAGCAGGTCCTGCCCCGTCTGAGCCCCTGAATATAGTAGACGGAGATAAAGTCCCAGTGGCACATGTCAGAGGTTTGTTAGGGAAATCAGTGTGGATCAATCCTGCCTCGAGTACAGACAAACCCATTCGTGGGATTGTCTTTGCTCAGGGACCAGGTTGTACATGGTGGATAATGCAGAGAGATGGAACAACACGATGTGTACCTCAGGGAGATCTGATTGTGGGGTGAAACTATTGTGCAAATATCACTGTTTGTTGGATGTTACTGCCAATGTCTGTACATGAAAACACACAGACATGAGAAAGAAGGAAATGTGTAAGTGTCAAAGGTTTGAGCAAGTGAAATAGAAGGAAATGTTTAAGTGTCAAAGGTTTGAGCAAGTGAAATAGAAGGAAATGTGTAAGTGTTGAAGGTATGAGTAAGTGAAAGATACAAGTTTTAACTTGATGGAGTTTTTACATGATGTTGAAGATATGGAGATAAGGGGTGGAATGTCCTAGGGTGACGTTATGGTGTTTGTATCTCCAATCGTGTGTTCTCTTTATGTTTGATATTATGTTCTGTACTTTCAGAACTGACTCTGAAAGTGAAGGTTTCTTTTGCCTTGTTATCAGCCATCGTCTGCTGTCTAGAAAAGGCTAGTGCTGGCTGGCTTGCTTTTGCTTACTTGCTTGCTTGGCTTGCTTGCTTTGCTTGCTTCTGCTTTTGCCTTTGCTTCCTAGTTAGTTTAGCTAAGCATTCCAATTCTTTTCCTGGACTATTTTTTCCCTTTCCTTTTCCTAAATACCATCCAACCTACTCCAGACTGAGACCTGAGAAACACCGAGGAACACCAGAAGCCTGCATTTTGTGATCTGCAGCAGCCAACCCCACGTGCTGATCATCCTGTGGACGACTCGAGATGGATATCATGGAAATCCTCAGGCAGATACACGTGAATGCAGTGTTCCCGTAAACTTCATCAAGAGATTCAACAACTCCAGACACTGAATTGTTCTTCCTCATCACCAAAAAATAAAATTTTATTAACCTATGGACTCTGAATGGAAGAAAAGACTGACTGCCGAAATCTTAGCCTCAGGCGGAATTTTCCCTGTGAAAACAGCTTGTGCCAGGATGGAGGTGTGTGGGCATAGAGGAAAACCTCTGATGAGGCTGACCTCTTTGTTGCACACCCCGGGCTCGGCTCTGTTCTTTCCTTGTGGCTGGCTAGATAGAATTTGATTGCAAAATAAATATTTTATTTTTTCATTTTAATTTGGCTGGACAAATTTTCATTTATAACACTTCAGTCAAATATATTTTTCTCCTCTTTTAAACCTACTTTACAGCAAATGTAGGCCTTTTGTTTTGGTCAGATCTGATTAGTGAGAGATGCCTCTGACCGAGTAGCAAATGAGACCATATGTAATATGGGTTTCATTTTACAATAAATGTGAGGTAGAGAGATAGAAAGAAATAGAAAAGAGTAAAGGGTGGAGAGAGAGAGAAATCAAGCAGAAGACAGTCACCACCCATGAATACAGCAGCATCCCATTGGTCCTTCTTCACCCCAGGCTTCTCAGTGATGGGGGTCCTGAAATCATTCTTCTGAGGGTACCACCTTTATACAGTCCAAGTTCCAAGTATCACAGAGTCATCGCAGATGCTGTTCCCATAACTTGGGGTGATATGTGTATGAGCAGTTGCCCACTTTTCCACAGTGGGAATTATTGTCCGGATGTATTAACCAGGATGTTCTAACCAGATGTTGCCACACCAGGTCTGGAATTAGTGCCTTCCTGTTGCAAATTCCTCCCTTTTGTGCTTAAGTCAAGTTCCCACTGTGGTGGCTTATCTTATAGCAAGTTCGTTCTGTGGCCTTGTGTTGTGGTTTAGGAATGGTAGTCCCCAATTCAGTGCCCCCACCAACTCTCCAAACCACACACTGTTCTCTCTTGCTCCCCTGTTTTCACCTCCTCCTCCCCACTGTGGATGGCTGGAGAGGAGAGCTGGAGGCACAAAAGGCAAAGATCATGGGTTGAGATGAGAACAATTTACTGGAAACAGCAATAAGATAAGAAAATGAACAGTAACAGCAACAATATTAATAACAGAGTGTACAAGAAATTATTCACATGGAAAAACTCCATGATAACAGACAATACTGGAAGGCTCCCTCTGCCATATTTTCTCTTCTGAAAGGAGCCCCTTCTCCCCATAAAAGAGCCCTTTCCCCTGCTCCTAGCAATGACATGAGGTGATATAGAATAACCTACATACTCCAGTCATGCTCCCTCCTGGTACTGAAAAAAATTAACTCTGGCCTGGCTGGAACCAGGACACCTTGACAGTGTTTGAGACAGGCAATTGTGCTCTTTGCACCTTTGTAGGCAGACAGGCAGGACAGAGGAAAACTAGATTTTTCAAAGAAGCCACCACTTCTAAGTCTTTACTACTGATTTGTATTTCTAATTCCAGCTTCTTGTCACTTAACCTAGTTGTGCTTTTGATAGCTTTTTTCTCCCAGTTGTTTTTTAAAAAAAATATTTTAATAAAATACAACAAACTATAATTTTAATTTATATCACATTCAAAGGTCTTTCATCAAGAAAAGAGCAAGAGAGTCCCTGCCTCATTCTGCCTCACAGGAATCAGCATTTCAGTAGCATTGCAGCCATTCTACATGAGTTTAAAGCTACTGAGTGGGGGTTGGGTCTGCAACTGCCAGGAAGTTTCTTCCAGTGCTTCAGCAGCATTGGAGCCTTTTGGACAAAAATAGTTTTTTCCAGGTTTTCTTTTTCCCTGCTCCTGTTGTTGTTTGGGGGCAGGGAGGGAGTTCTGGAACTGCAGAGGCTTGGTTGCTGTGTTGTTTTCCTTTGTTCTCTCTCTTGGCTGCATGGTCTGAAGAAGAGGGCGTCTCTGCCATCTTGTCTTTGTCCTCTGGGCCACATGGGCTACCATGGCGGCCGCCATCTTGGGAAAAGGGAGCTTCTCCACCATCTTGTCTTTGTCCTCTGGGCCACTAGGCTGTCCAGGTGGTGGCCATATTGTTTTCTTTTTTCTCAGGGAGAGGGCTATGTAACTCAGCACCTTTGTATCTAGTGGTTATTGCTGTTTTCTTGGTTATTGCCATTTTTATTTTAGTAAACAGTTATTTTTTCACTTATCTCTGTGAAAAATACATATTTTATGATTGGCTTCTCGCAAATATTAAAATGAATATTATATGTGTAATGTTAGAAAGTTATGCTGTATTAATTCTCTTAAGTAGTGTGTTAAATATAGTTTTAGGTTACAACATAATGTTAAAATAGAAACTATGCAATGTAAGATATTTTGTAGTAGCTCAAGAAAAGGGATAAGATAATCAAGAAACTCTTCGCACAGAGATAACAGTGACAGGGCACATAAAGAGTTACTGCCTCATCGGAAAAGACAAACATTCTTCCACTTTCTCTCCATCTTTATGGAACCACCAGGATTAAGGGGAAGAAGTTGACAAAAACCAGAAAAATTCTTAATTTTCAAGGAATTTATGCATCATGTGTGAGATATATGAATATGCAACAGGCTCTTGCTTTTAAGGGTTATTCCTTTGTTCAGAAAGCATGTTTTTGGCAGCTTAGTGCCCAAAAACATCTGGACGTCCGTAATTCTTTGCTTTTTATTGTCTCATAGTGTCCTAATCCTCATTGTCCAAATTTTTATTACTCTAATTTTATTACTGTTTTTATAACTATTCTATTACTAATAAACTTTTAAGATTTTAAAAAACAAGTGATTGGTGTTTTTCACCTCTTCATATTTGTCTCTTCTTATTGTTGAAAGGGGAGTGGTTAAAACTAAGAGGAGATAACATTTCGTAGTCTGCACCCCATAAAATTGTCTTAGTTTAAGACAGGTTGGTTTTGAAGTCTCCTAATAATGAGTACCTGGTACACTTTCCTAATCTACACCTGAAATTAGGAAACATGTAGCAAATAATTCCATCACCACCTATGTTTGTCTTTCTCTTGCAATATGAGAAAGAGAGAAGGCCTTGACACTATGTAAGCACCATTCAGCAGTAACATCAATGTTATCAACACTGTTTTCAGAACAAATCCAAAACATAGCACCATGCCAGTTACTGCAAAGAAATTTAAATCATTCCCAGCCAAAACCAGTACAACTTCATAATTGTAATTCTGTAAAGCTTAAATTTATGTATGTCCTTTCAATTCCACAATTCCATTAATTCTTATCTTAAAAAAAAACCCCAACAACCATCAACTGTCCCAATCAAAACCAAACAGTAACAGTTTCATAAAACCACAAGTACATAAGAAAAATCTGTAAGGACACTTTTTTACCCACTAAAAAACAACAACACTCAAATTCAGTAACACCTCACCTGCATCAGCTCTGGACCGCTGACCTGGTGATTTTCCAAATGGGGTCTTCATTCATCTGTGTTTAAGTGAGCAGCAGAGCTGCTAGACTAGGGTCAAAAGCCAGTTCTTCCCAACTCCCCAAATATCTTCTTATTCTCGTAATTCAACAGTTACTTATTAATATACCATCCAATCATCAATTCATTCTTCCTCAAATATAGGAGAAGCACTTTCAGTTATATCACTCTGAAAAAAAAATCAGAAAATATAGTCTGATTTGAGACTTGGTTAAAATAAACAATGCAGTGAAACAAAATATTTTTTCTTTCATGTTCAATGAGACGTCTCTTCATATTCTGTTATTCTGGATGTGGTCCATATTATGCACTAAGTTTCAGATCTCCTATACTACATTTGAAAATTATAATGAAAACACCAGTAGAGAGAGCATGAAAGCATATGATTCTCACCCTCCCCAAGTCACAAAGCAGCTATTCCTGTTTCAAAAAATTTATTGTATTTCAGAGACAACCCCCCCATATTTCCTCTGAAAGTTTCTAGAATAGTTTTTATCTTAGTCTGTACCACCCTTATGCTTACATAGATGCTTACTGTAGGAGATGCAAGGCATGGAAGTTAAACATTCTTGTCTGCATTACAGCATCCATCTGTCAATAGACTTGAACCAAAAAAAAAATAAAAAGCCAGGTGGGATTTTTCCACCTTCTGTGGAAAAAAAAACCCACAAACAATGTGTGGCATGGTGTGGCAGTTTACATGGCAGATCATGAAGAAGGGTGTGCAGGGAGAGCACTGAGGCTCTGCGGCTGGAGTAGTTAGCTGAGTTGATGGCCATCGCCCTCACCAAGGGAGCTCAGATATGGTTTCCACTCGGACAGAATCTGTTTCCTCTGTGTGCACCAGAAAGGATGTGGCAACCCAGATGGAGCATTCACAAAAACATGCAGCCATCCAGGTCTTAGGCTGCAAGGAGTGCCAGAGTCTGGCACTGCTCTCAGAGGGCAACAGAGAAAACAAATGTGTGAGGTGCAATCAGGTCAACAATCTGCTCAGCCCAGTGGCAGAGCTGAGAGAAGTAGAAAGGCTAAGAAGTATCAGGGACTCTGAGGAGATTGACCAGTGGAGTGGGACTCTAACATGCCTTAGGCAAATGACTCACCATATACTTCACAAGAAGCAATAGATATCCTACCCTCTCTCCAACAGGAAGAAAGAGGGGACTGTAGAGATGGGGGGGTGTAGAAATGGGTTTCTTCTCAGGGTGGAAGGCAAACACCCTCCTAACCTACTTCACCTTCCCAGATGCCCTTATACAATATTTATGAACCTTGGAATCTGAGGACCAGGGAAATGAGAATGTGGATGAAAGTCCATCCAGGATGGAGGGGTTACCTAGGGCAGGGCAGCCTACCCACTGCATCATAATCTGCTCAGTTAAGAAAAAAAGAAGGGTTGTAGTAGTAAAGAAGTAGTAGTCATTGGTGACTCTTTTGAAAGGAACAAAGGGCCCAATATGCTGACTGGACCCAACCCATAGGGAAGTATGCTGCTTTCTTGGGGCCTGGGTAAGGGACATCACCAAGAAACTTCCCAGCCTGGTACGTCCCACTATTACCTGCTACTGCTTTTTCAGGTGGGCAGTGACAAAGTATCAGCAAGAAGGCTGCAGACAACCAAGAGGGACCTCAGGGCCTTGGGACAACTGGTCGAAGGATCTAGAGCACAAGTTGTGTTCTTTTCTGTCCTGCCAGTTCCCTGCAGGGAATGATGGGGCAATAAACAGGAAAACCATGCAGATGAACACCTGGCTTTGAGACTGGTGTTGCCATTAGAATTTTGGGGGTTTTGATCATAGGTCAGTTTATGTTACAATGAGCCTGCTGGCAACAGATGGGGTTCATCTATCTCAAAGCGGGGGAAAAAAAGGATTTTAGCTCAGGAGTTAGCAGGGCTCATTGAGACAGCTTTAAACTACATTTGAAGGGGGATGGGGACAAAACCAAGCTCAACAGAGATAAGCCTGGGGGTACCATGCAAATGTTTGAGGGACAGTGTGCTACCAAGGTCCTTCAGTCTGCCATATCAGTGGAGGTAAGGGATGGCGATCTATGCAAAAGTAAGGATGCAAGGGTTAATGATGTGTTAGAAATCCCAGAAGTGCCTGAGAATGGTCACATGAATGAGGGCTTCTCCCAGCAAAAAGGCAGTAGGGTTATTAGCCCAACTAAAGTGTATTTACACCAATGCACACAGCATGGGCAAAAAACAGGAGGAACTGGAAACTATTGTACATCAGGAAAACTATGACAGTTGCCATCACGGAAACATGGTGGGATGATTTGCACGACTGGACTGATGCAATGGATGGCTATAAACTCTTCAGAAGGGATAGGCAAGGAAGGAGAGGCAGTGGGGTAGCCCTGTATGTTAGGGAGTGTTTTGATTAATTGGAGCTTGATAATGTGTTATGACCTTGTTCTTGTTAATAGATCCCTTGGGGCGGATCAGAAGGACACTGAATGACTGGTGTATATATATGAGTTTTCCACCTGAGCTTTATCGAGAGGGAAGACACTGACATGATAAAAAGCATTATTCCACCAAACAGGATCTGCTTTTTATGGGCCTTTTCCCTTATCTGGTTTAAACCCCAGCTTGTTAACAACATTAATCACAGGTTATCCAGTACACAATTGAAGGGCTCAACAAGTTTATCTAAACAAAGGTCAGTTTGTAGTGGTCATCCTCCGGTGGTAAATAAACAACCGCTCTGCACCTGGGCTGTTTTTTGCAGATCAGAGGCTTTGCCACCACATATCAAAAAACTCTCCTCCTTGCCTTCGGTTGGGGGATACAAACCTGCTCTCAGCAAAGCACTCTGCTGCTTTTGCAAATGGCCGATTGAGTCATCAGCCTTTATCATTTCAGTCTCTCACATGATGGTAGTTATAGAGTTGAGTGTTTATCAGTAAGTGCACTGGGTTTTTATGGCCAGGTTTTGGTAGCTCCTGGCAGGGACCTGTGTAGCAGCCAGAGGCCCTGCAAGGCCTCCCTCTCGGTCACTTGCCTAAGATAAGAAATGCCTAGTCATGATGACTGGACCAAAGAAGCCCCCCTTCCACATTCAGACCCTTGTTATCTCTCTGTAAGACCATAGGTCATATTCGCCTCGACCCTGGCCATTGGAAAATTTCCAACACCCCTGTATCCTATATAAACCCCCATTTCTGCCCAGTTTGGCAGAAGAGCTGTCACTGTACCCCTCCACAGGAGCTGACAATAAAGACACCGCTGTGGAACTGCATACAACCTTCTCCTCTCTCTTCCTATGCGTCTGCGAGGCCCTTAGTGAGCAAAGAGCTGAAATCACTAAGAGCTGAATTCACCAAAGAGCTGAAATCACTTCAGAGATGCTCGCTAAGCTTACCTACGGCTGGGGAGCTAGCCTGAGGGACCTGGACAGGCTGTGCCTATCAGCCCAGTGCTATCCCGGACACCTATGGCTGCCTGGAGGTCAGATGGACCCCTGGGACCCCAGGCTGCATTACGTGGCCACCCGAACGGAGGTACTGGTAATCTGGCATCCCTGAGAGTAGCATTCCTCGTGAATTATTACTGCCTCGGCCTGCTACGATCCCCTGAAGGTAACTCTCTATTATAGAAGAAGTCATATGAAGAGGGGCCCACATTCGGTTGAAGAAGTGTAAGTTTAAAACAGCCTTTTTGTGCACTTTTACCTTGGGTCCTTTTTTGGTTTTTTTTCTTTTTTTTTTTTTTTCCTTTTTCTTTTTACTGTTGGGGGGAAAGGAAACTCCCTCGCTCCTCCCTTGCCCTCATCCCCAGGCGTTGCAACCACCCACCCACCCTCAGTGCCTCCCGAACGGCACCTCCGAGACCCCCCACGGTGGCACCCCACTTCTCCATGCGCCTCAGTCCTGTGCAGGCTGTGCCACATGTGGCGCTGCTATTGCTGTTCCACTGCTGCCTCCCTCTAGCCAAGCTCAGCCAGCTGCCCCCTCACACTCTGTCCAGTCCCCTACACCCCTGAAAACTGTGGCTCCAACACGCCCAAAAAAGCATAGTACACCTCCTGCTCACTCTCACTCCTCGTCTGAGGACAGTGAGACCGAGACAGAGGACATCGATTCATGGGCTCTAATCAAAATCGAAGCGACTTGGGCAGGGAATTGGGAACTAGCTCTGAGAATTTCTGCCTTCCCAGGCAATTTATATAAAGGGGAAAAGAGGGGGCCCACCACTAAAACAACGTGGGAACCTAATGAAACAGAGATTTTTGAAATTCACTCAAGTTAACAAAATGAATTAAGCATTTATATTCTAGTTTGCAGAGTTATGTGTTGAATTTTAACCTTTTACTTAAGAAACCTCTGCCAAGGTACAAAAGGGCATAAGAAAACACAAATTACTAAAGCTTCTTGCATAAAGAACAATACCAAAAAGGACCTAAAATACAAAGAACCTAGATAAAGAAGCTCCTCTGCCCCTAAGCCTACGGAGAATGACAGATGGTACTCAGATAAGTACCAAAAGACTGAAAGTGCACCCAAGGAGAGGAAGAGTTCAAAAGTTCAACCATGAGGAAGACCACGATCTTCAGCCTCACGAGACCACCAGAGACCCCCCCCGCAGGACCACCACGGCAAAGCACACGTGCCCAGAAGGGCGTGGACCTATTTACCATCAGAGGTGAGGGCAGGCGGGGCCAGGGGTTGAATATGCATAGAAAAGTTGCATAATGTACTGCATATAGAACACCTTTGTGAATAAAGTTTTGGGTCGGATTAAGACGCGGGGCACAAGTCTTGGAGAGCTATCTCACTTGTGCCGAGCACTGGCAATACATACCCACTTCATAACTACCCCAAGTTGTAGAGACTATTTCTTTATTCCACGTATCACTTCACTAACACAAATAAAGAACTGGTACAACTAGAAAACATAGCCAAAGAACATGGTAGAAGTTAGCATATTTTCAGAAATTTCCTGGAGGCTTTCTTTTCAGAACATATTGTGGTACCTCACAATGTTAAAAACATTGCCCACTGCCTTCTTTCCCTGGCAGAATATATGCTATGGGGAAGGCATTGGATAAGACAATTAAAAACATTGTCAGACACCTATGCTCAAGATGCAAATAGGCCAGATTTTACAGTTGAACAGCTGGCTGGAGAAGGGGATTTACAGAAACCCTCCGACCAAGCTGACACCTTACCTCAGGCAGCACTACAAGACTTGGCTATTGCAGCAAAAACCTCCTTGCTTCTTACTCCAGATGACTCTATTCCTACTGAACACTTCTCTAGTATTAAACAAGGAGTAGATGAAAGCTTTATCAAGTTTGTGGACAGAATTAAGGATGCTCAGGAAAAACAGATAGAGAGCACAGAGGCAAGAAAAAAACTGTTGTGCAAGCTTGCCTTATCGAATGCAAATGAACAATGTAAAACAATTCTGAAGGCCCTACCTTGGGATATAGAACCCACCATAGAGCAAATGGTGGAAAGCTGTACACGTCATATATCCACTGAAAACACAGTGGCCCAAGCAGTTGCTAAGCGTATTGCAGAAGGAGTTTCTGGTGCATTTGCAGTAGTTACTTCCAAAGACCAGGCCCGCTGCTATCACTGTGGGGAATTTGGACATTTTATAAAGGACTGTCCAGACAGGTCACCTACCCGAAACCCCTGTAGCACCTACCAAAAACCCCAGAATCAGCAGCGCTACCAGCAATGTTCGGGAAACTTCCAGTGGAGCGCAGCCAGGCCCCACGCAAAGACAACAAATGAAAAGCTGTCCAGACTCAACCACGCATCATCCCAGGAGATTCCAGGTCACATGGAGAGGATCCAACCCACAGAGCAATACAGATGGGAACATGGCACCAGTTGGTAACCACTTTGTCCATTGACTTTAATAATAAGGCTGTTTATTGTGTTCCCACAGGCAAATATGGGCCAAAAGGTGGTCCTTTTGACATCTTAATTATAGTGGACACTCCCTATGGCCCAGAGGAAATATTTGTTGTTCCAGAGGTACAAACAGTGCACCCAGGACAAGAAATCTCGGTCCAGTTGTGCTGCACAGACTTACCATTTTTCCTTTCAAAGGGAACTCTGATCGCACAAGCCTTTCTACTCCCAAAGAATCACAGGGAACAGCTTCCTCTCAACCCTACAGAAATGTGGGCACAAGTTTTGGGACCAAGTAAGCCTACCATCAAGTGCAGTCTATCCTACAGAGGAGAAAAGATCCACCTACCAGGGATGCTCGACACCGGTGCGGACGTGACTATCATCATTTGCTCAGAATGGCCAGCACACTGGGAACTACAACTGGTAGCAGGCATGATTTCAGGGATTGGTGGAGCCACAGTGTCTATGCAAAGCAAGCACAACATCCTCGTCGAAGGGCCTGAAGACAAGTTGAAAACCATCCGCCCACTTGTTGTAAGGGCCCCCATCACCCTTTGGGGCAGGGATGTTCTATCCCAATGGGGAGCTTCCCTACGTATTCCCAGTTGGGATTTCTGACCAGGGCCACTGAGGAGTGCGCACTACCAGATACCCCTCGGCTCACCTGGAAATGCCAAGACCCAATCTGGATAGACCAGTGGTCCCTCGCTAAAGTAAGACTGCGTGCACTACAAGCCCTTGTGGAAGAACAGCTCGCCAAAGGTCACATCGTCGAGACCACCAGCCCTTGCAACTCTCCAGTCTTCGCACTGCAAAAACCTGGAACAGACAGATGGAGGCTCCTCCATGACCTTTGCAAAATCAATGAGGCCATCAAGGACATGGGCCCCCTCCAGCCTGGCCTGCCTTCACCACTGATGCTGCCTCAAGACTGGACACTTGCCATCATAGATATAAAGGACTGTTTCTTCAGCATTCCTCTGCCCCCCCAGGACGCTCTACGGTTTGCTTTCTCTGTTCCCTCTCTTAACAGAGAGGGTCCACTCAAAAGATATCATTGGTTGTATCTTCCCCAAGGACTAAAAGTCTCGCCTACTATATGCCAGTGGTATGTCGCTCACATCCTTTCTCCTGTGCGGAACCTGTTCCCAGATGCAATCATCTGCCACTATATGGATTATATCCTGGTGTGTGCATCAGGAAAAACTTACTTAGATAAAGCAGCTAAAAGGACAGTCAAAACCATAGAAAAAGCAGGATTCAAGATCTGTGAGGACAAAATACAGTACACCAACCCATGGACTTATCTTGGATTCCAGATCTGGGAAAGGACCATCATACCCCAGCAGCTCGCTATCCGATATGACCCAAAAACCCTGTGACACTTACACAGTCTGTGCAGATCCATCAACTGGGTACGTCCCCTGCTAGAAATTACAACAGAGGACCTCGCTCCCGTGTTCAACCTTCTCTGTGGCAATGAAGACCTAGACTCTCCACGCACTCTCACAACAGAAGCCCGAGACAACATCACCAAGGTCCAAGAAGCCCTGTCTTCACGTCAAGCCCATTGCTTCAAGCCCAACCTGCCTTTCCAGTTTGTCATTCTCGGAATAGCACCCCGGTTCTATGGACTCATTTTCCAATGGGATCTTCAACTTCAAGACCCTTTATTGATACTGGAATGGATCTTTACAAACAACCAACCTTCAAAGACAATTACCACCTTCCAAGAAATCATGGGACATTTAATAAAGAAAGCCAGAATGTGCCTCTGCTCTCTTGCTGGGTGTGAGTTCACATGCATATACTTGCCACTGACCAATGGGGATTTGGAGCATTTGCTCCAGACCAATGAAAATCTCCAAATCGCCCTAGACAGCTATACAGGCCAAATTTCCATCCATATCCCAAAACATAAACTTTTTAATGCAGCCTTTAATCTGACCCCATAATTAGTCCAACGTAAAACACCTCTCAAAGCTCTAACAATTTTTACAGACGGCTCAGGGTCAGCCCACAAGTCTGTAATGACTTGGAAGGACCCTAAGACCCAAAATTGGGAATCTGACATCCAAATAGTGGAGGGATCTCTACAGATTGCAGAGTTAGCAGCTGTTGTCAGAGCCTTTGAGAAATTCAAAGACAAACCCTTTAATCTGGTTACAGATTTGGCATATTTTGCCAGTATAGCTATGGGAGCAGAACACGCTCTTCTCAAAGACGTTTCCAATCCGAAGATACATCAATTGATTTCAGCATTAACACGCTCAATCTCTCACAGAAAGCAACCTTACCATATAATGCATGTGAGGTCACACACTGATCTGCCAGATTTCATCACAGAAGGGAACAGGAAAGCGGACACATTGGCCATTGTTGGGAAGGGTAGATAAATATGATTAAGAACCACAATAGTGCAGCCAGGACGAATATAACGCCCCCTACTGGCTGGACAATAACCCTCAATTACAGAGGGGTCCAAAAGCCAAATGGACTGTTCCATCTCACCCCCCAGAATGTATGGTTCACCCCACACCTGTAACCCTCCCCTGAAACATCAAGTGTCTGTGACCCCATTGGCCCAAGTCCTGTTCTAGCCCACCTTGAAGCCCCCCTTGATAAGGGGTCTCCGGGGGCCAGACGCCCTCTTGGATCTTCCTCTCTCCTCCTGGAACTTCCTCCTGGAGTCCCTGCTTCCCTCTTTGTCTCTCCCCTCCCCCATCACCTCAGGCCCAGCCACATGCTGTGTCTAGCAGCTCGAGGCAGGACCTCTCACCATCCCAAATAAACCTTATCTTCCAAGAGCAACCAACAGAGATCTCGCCTGTATTCACCCCAAATCCGTCCGTGGAACCCCCCTCGAACGTCTTTACAGGCCATGGCAATAGAAACTGCTAACATCCCTGACATCTTTGCCCAGGCAAAGTTGTCACACGCATTTTGCCATCAAAATGTACCTGCCCTTATCAGAATGTTCAAGCTCTCAAAAGATCAAGCAAAAGCTATTGTGGCCACATGCCCGAACTGTCAAAACTACCAGATATCATCTATGGGGACAGGAGTCAATCCCTGAGGCCTGAACAGCTGCCAGCTGTGGCAGACAGACATAACTCACTTCCCACCTTTTGGAAGGTCAAAATACGTGCACATATCAGTCAATACGTTTTCTGCAGCAATATTTGCATCAGCTCATCCAGGAGAAGCTACACAGCACACCATAAAGCACTTCTTCCTTGCATTCGCTACTCTGGGAGTACCAAAACAAATCAAAACAGACAATGGACCTGCCTATACCTCTCGAAAGTTGAGCCAGTTCTTCAGTGAATGGGGAATAGAACACAAGAAAGGCATACCTGCAAATCCCACAGGACAATCAATCGGAGTGTGGACACATCAAACCCTCAAAAGAGTCCTCAATCAGCAGCGAAGAGAAACAAAAATAATATCTCTAGTAGAAAGACTTTGCAAGGCTTTCTATGTCATCAATTTCCTAAATTGTACAACATCAGAGCCTGACCCCCCAATACTTCGCCACTTTGCAAATACCACCCAAGCAAAGCTCATGGCGAAAACACCAGTCCTAGTGAAGGATCCAGAAACACATCAAATTTCTGGGCCTTTCCAGTTGATTACTTGGGGTAGAGGGTATGCATGTGTTCTACTACCATCTGGTCCAAGATGGTACCCAGGAAAAAACAAAAAACCATACCTAGGCACTGTAAACACTACTCCCACAAACAGTGACAATAATTCCCCTGAGTCAAACAAACACAAGACCTCCTCAAAATCAGACAAGTTCTGCCTGGAGACAAAGACGTCACCGAATGTCCACATACCGAAGAAAAGACCATCCCATCACACGACAGCAGACAAAACAGAAAGTGGAACAACATTCTGCTGTAGCAGTCAAGCCATAAGCCAGACACAGCCTGAACACAAATTGTTCTCTGAATAACATGTTATTGCCCCTTTATTTACCCTAAAAAACCCTATTGCTTCCCTTTCTTAACTCTTACCAAAAACCCCTAACCTTATCCCCACCCCCCCATCCTTAGGTTATAGAAAAGAAAAAAAAAAATTAAAAAATGGGGGGGGGGGGGGAAGGAAAGAAGGGAAGGAACAGAAGGAACAAAGGAGAAAACCCTCTCCTCCCACCATAAAAATAACAAATTTTGCTTATATTCCCTATCAGAAGCCCCATCCTTGTCAAAAGAAAAAAGATTGCGGTGTCCCTATTCCTACCATAGGTAGCTGCAGCTAAAGCCCTTGGTGAAATAAATCACTTAGGGTGCTGGCTCAGTAAGCAAGTCAACACTACCTCTGCCGCCCTAAGCGATCTTTTAAAGGATAAAGAAACCACGAGACATGCATCACTTCAAAATCGAGCAGCAATCGAATTCCTACTGCTAGCCCACGGACATGGCTGCCAAGACTTTGAAGAGATGTGTTGCTTCAATCTCTCTTCACGCTCTGAATCCATCCATGCAAACATCCAGAAACTGAAGGAACTTGTGAAAGACTTAAAAGTAGAAAACAACCCAGACTGGGTCAATGACCTTTTCGGTCAGTTGGGATTAACAGGATGGGTTGCATCTTTGGTTAAGGGAATTTTGTGAATTTTCACTGAAATTGTCATTGTGTTAGCTATGTTCTCATGTCTTGTCCATTGGTTTAAAAGAACTATTGGGAAAGCCTTTTTACTAAATGCAGAAAGTGGAGTTGTAGCAGCCAGAGACCTTGCAAGGCCTCCCTGGAGGTCACTTGCCTAAGATAAGAAATGCCTAGTCATGATGACTGGACCAAAGAAGCCCCTCTTCTACATTGTTATCTCTCTGTAAGACCATAGGTCATATTCGCCTCGACCCTGGTCATTGGACAATTTCCAACACCCCTGTACCCTATATAAACACCCATTTCTGCCCAGTTTGGCAGAAGAGCTGTCACTGTACCCCTCCACAGGAGCTGACAATAAAGACACCGCTGTGGAACTGCATACAACCTTCTCCTCTCTCTTCCTATGCGTCTGCGAGGCCCTTAGTGAGCTAAAATCACTAAGAGCTGAATTCACCAAAGAGCTGAAATCACTTCAGAGATGCTCGCTAAGCTTACCTACGGCTGGGGAGCTAGCCTGAGGGACCTGGACAGGCTGTGCCTATCAGCCCAGTGCTATCCGGGATACCTACGACTGCCTGGGGTCGGACGGACCCCTGGGACCCCAGGCCGCATTAGACTTGCAGACCCATGGAGGGAGGAGCCCATGCTGGTGCAGGTTTCCTGGTAGGGCTTGTGACCCTGTGGGGGATCCACACTGAAGAAGCTGTGACTGAATGACTGCACCCCGCGCAGGAGTGACCCACATTGCAGCAATTTAGGGAGGACTGTTGCTCGTGGGATGGACTCACACTGGAGAAGTTCATGGAAAACTGTTTTCTGTGGTAGACACCCCACATTGGAGCAAGAGAAGGACTCTTCTCCCTGAGCAGCAGTAGAAACAACTTGTGATGAACTGAGTATAATACTCATTCTGTCTCCCTGCGCTGCTTGGAGGGAGAAGGTAGAGCTTGGGAAGCAGGGAGGGATGTGGGGAAGGTGTTTTTAAGATCTTATTTTACTTCTCATTGTCCTACTCTGATTTTATGAGTAAAAAATTAAATTAATACCTCAAATTTGAGTCTGTTTTGCCCGTGACAGTATTTGGTGAGTGATCTCCCCCAGATATTATCTCAATCCATTAATCCTTTTGTTATAATTTTGTCTCCTGTCTGGTTACAGAGGGGAGTGATAGAGCAGCTTTGGTAGGTGTCTGGCATCCAGCCAGGGTCAACCCACTACAGTAAGAATCAGGGAGAAGGCTAACAAGGCAGATGTCCTCGTGGAAGTGTTATAGACCACCCAAGTATGATGAAGAGGCAGATGAAATATTCTGTAAGGAGCTAGGGGAAATCTTATGATTGCTGGACCTTATTCTCATGGGGGACTTCAACCTACCAGATATTTACTGGAAATACAACAGAGCAGAGAGGAAACAGTCCAGGAGGTCCCTGGAGTGAATGGAAGAGAACTTCCAGACACAGCTGGTGAATGAGACAACCAGGGAAAGTGCCCTGCTGGACCTGCTGTTTGTAAATAGAGAAGGACTGCTCAGAGTGAAAGTCAGAGGCCGTCTCAGGCAAAGCAATCAAGAAATTATAGTTTTCAATTATGAGAGAAATAAGGAGAGACATCAGCATAACTGCCACCTTAGAATTCTGGAGAGCAGACTTTGGCCTATTTAGGAAACTAGTTGAGAGAGTCACTTGGAAGGCAGTCCTTAAGGGCAAAATAGTCCAGGAAGGCTGGATGTGTTTTAAAAAGGAAATCTTTGTGAAAGACAATAGCATAGTTTTTGTTCATCAGGAAAAGCCCCAGGGATTGTGTAAGACGCAGGAAACAGTGGGGCAGGAAGGCAGGATGTACTGGTATCAGTAGATTGTGGAATTGAGAGATCTTTGCAAGCTGCGTAACCATATTTGGAGACGTTATTGCAGGGTTAACGCTACCTCGGAGGAAGAAGAATAGGAGCTTTCCTCAAATGACCACCGGACAGCAGAGAAAAGACCCCTAGCAACATTCTGCACAGATGCAGAGCACATCGAGAATGTCACAAAGTCCGGAACTGAAGGGGTATAAGAACTGAATGACTGTGGAGGTGTGGTGTGAGCCGCTGGAGGAGCAGAGACCCCCCTGGCTTCACCCAGCGCTGTTTTGCTTGCTATCGCTTGCTGTAATTAATAAATTCTCAATTGACCTATTAAGGCTGAATCGAGTTACTCCCCAACCTTATAACAAAATTTGGTGCTGTGACTCGGATCGGAACACCTGGAGGAGGGAGCCTTGCTAGGGAGGCACCCCACTGCTTTGACAGTGGCCCTGTGGGGACGCTCCTCCCCGGACTCCGACCGACGAACCCAAATTCGATAGCAAGCAAAAGGCCGGCAACCCCTTAATCTTTGTGCACGAAGTTCAGGGCGAAGACACAGGACGGTGTAATTATAAACTCCGGCGGCTTCTGTGAACTGCCGGAGTTGGCTCACCCATTGAGGGGTGAGGACCGCTCGGTCGGGGTTGGGTATCCCAGAGCGCGGTGTGTGAGACGTCCTGGTAGGACAACACAAGTGCGGACCTCTTAGTAGTGCGTTTTCCATACCCTGCGAGGGGCTGGGCCACGAATAGGGGGAGCGACAGTGTGTGTGTATGAAGGCACTCTGGAAGATGGGACAGGGGAAAAGAAAGCCCTCTGATCCCATGGGAGAGGGGACCCATGTAAAACTTCCCCAGATACCTCCAGATAGTCCATTAGGACTGATGATAAAATACTGGAATGATTTTCCCTCAAGAAGAGGGAAAGATCGAGCAAAAATGATCCGCTATTGCATGGAAGTTTAGGGAGGAAAACAAATTAGGAAAGACCACCTTTACTGGCCAGTATTCGGATCGTTTGAGGATTGGATATGCCAGGCACTTAACATTTATGTTAATTCTAAAGAGCCTTTTAACTTAGAAGAAAGTGAATATGCCTCCCTCTGGATAGTGGGAGAAACAAGGGTAAAACTGTTTGCCCTCAACACTTGAAAAAAGAAGAAGAAATTTAGAGGAGGGCAGGAATTACCTGACTTCTTCTCTCCACCCTATGTACCCCCCCCCCCCTTCCACCACCACCACCTCCTCCCTCCCCTCCACCTCCTCCCCCTCATAACCCCAGTCCCTCAGCACCTGTGCATGACACCTTAGGTGATGATGAGTCAGACTCCGAAACCAATCGGCGGGTAACTAGGAGTCAGTCCAGAAAGAAACAGGAGGGGGTTGGTATGTTCCCTCTCAGAGAAGCAGGAATGGGGATGGTCCCGAATCCAAATGCAGGACAACACGGACAGCCTGCCCAAATTCCAGGAATAGGATACATGGCGGTGCCCTTGAATTCAGGAGACATCTGGGAGTTTAAGAAAGAGATGAGTCATTTGTTTGAAGATCCTTTGGGAGTGGCAGAGCAGATAGATCAGTTCTTAGGACCCAGTATTTATACCTGGGATGAGATACAGTCAATTTTAAGCATTCTATTCACGGCAGAGGAAAGGAGGATGATTAGAACAGCGGGAATGAGAGTTTGGGATGATGAACACCAGGCAGGACCCCTCGCAGATACTAAATGGCCCGGACAATGTCCTAACTGGGATAATCAAAACCCACAGCATTGAGCCCACATGGCAGATTTGAGATCTATAGTAATTCAAGGGATAAGGGAATCCGTCCCCTGTGGACAAAACATCAACAAGGCATTTTGTGAGCAACAAAAGAAGGATGAGGATCCTACAAAGTGGTTGGAAAGGCTCCGAAGAACCTTTCAGCTATATTCTGGTGTGGATCCCGACTCCCCTGTGGGACAAGCATTACTAAAAACACAGTTCGTGGCTAGGTCATGGATGGATATTCGAAAAAAGCTAGAGAAGTTGGAGGACTGGCAAGGTAGAGGCTTGGATGAATTGTTGAGGGAAGCGCAGAAGGTGTACATGAGGAGGGAGGATGAGACCCATAGGAGACAAGTGAAGATGATGGTAGCAGCAGTTTGGGAAGGACAGAGAACTGAGTCCCCACAGAAGGGAAGGGGGGGGGGGCGCTAGGCAAAGGAATCAAAGGGGAAGTTCGAGGGACGGGAAGGAAAATGTAATAGAGTGCTTTTACTGTGGTCGGAGAGGGCATATGAGGAAGGACTGCAGGAAAAGAATAGTGGATGAAAAGCAGTTCAAAGAGGACTAGGGGGGTCAGGGGCTGTATTTGCTGGGGACACAAGAATGAACAGAGCCCCTGGTAAAGCTTAAAGTAGGGCCCCAGCAGCAAGAATATGAGCTCCTTGTGGACTCTGGGGCAGAAAGATCGACCATCCAAACCCTTCCCCAAGGGTGTAAGTTATCAACAGAAAAAGTACAGGTAGTTGGGGCAAAAGGTGAACCTTTTGGAGTGCCTGTCATCAAAGATTTATTATTGGAAACCCACTCCAAGATTGGAGTGGGATCCCTGCTACTAGTCCCGGAGGCCGACTACAATCTCCTGGGACGTGATTTAATGGTAGAATTAGGAATTAGGGTGGAAATAGTAGAGGATAGGTTAACTGTTAAGTTGTGCCCTTTACGCAAAATATATGAGGAAAAGATAAACCCTGAAGTTTGGTATACCCCTGATACTGTGGGAAAATTAGATATTGAACCTTTTGAAGTGACCATCAGGAACCCAGAAATCCCTGTTAGAGTTAAACAATACCCTTTATCTCAGGAAGGAAGGAGAGGATTAAAACTCGAGATTGTAAGACTGTTGCAGCAGGGTTTACTTGAACCTTGCATGTCCCCTTTTAGCACCCCCATTCTGCCTGTGAAGAAGGCAGATGGCAGTTACCGGTTGGTTCATGATCTAAGAGAAATCAATAAAAGAACAATTGAGAGATTCCCTGTTGTGGCTAACCCATACACCTTGTTGAGTCAATTAGGCCCTGAGAATCAGTGGTATAGTGTGATAGACTTGAAAGATGCCTTTTGGGCCTGCCCGCTTAGGGAAAACTGCCGAGATTATTTTGCCTTCGAGTGGGAGGACCCTGATACACATAGAAAACAGCAATTGAGATGGACAGTACTCCCCCAGGGATTCACAGAATCTCCCAATCTGTTTGGACAAGCCTTAGAGCAGGTCTTGCAGGACTGCCATCCGGAGGCAGAAGTAGTCTTAATACAATATGTGGATAATTTGTTGATTGCAGGACAAGAGGAGGAGGCAGTGAGACAGGAGAGCATAAGATTACTAAAATTTTTGAGTATAAAGGGATTGAAAGTGTCTAAATCCAAGTTGTAGTTTGTAGAAAAAGAGGTAAAGTACTTGTGCCACAGGTTGAGTAAGGGAACTAAGAAACTAGATCCAGATAGAGTTAAGGGGATTCTCTCAATCCCAGCCCCGAGGACTAAAAGGCAAGTAAGGCAATTATTGGGACTATTTGGGTACTGCAGGCAGTGGATAGAAAATTTCAGTGGAAAGGTAAAATTTTTATATAATAAATTGACAAAGGAAGGATTACTCAAATGGTCACAAGAAGATGAGGAACAATTAGAGGCCCTTAAAAGAGAATTGAGTAATGCACCTGTACTTAGACTCCCTGATTTGAAGAGACCTTTTTATCTGTTTGTTAATGTAGATGAGGGGACGGCATATGGAGTTTTGGCTCAAGATTGGGCCGGGAGTAAGAAACCAGTAGCCTACTTATCAAAGCTTCTGGATCCTGTTAGTCGTGGGTGGCCCACCTGTTTACAGGCAATAGTGGCAGCTGCTTTGCTAGTAGAAGAAACCAGTAAGATTACCTTTGGAAGCGAGTTAAGGGTAATGTCCCCACATAACATAAGGGGAGTATTGCAGCAGAAAGCAGAAAAATGGATTACAGATGCTAGGCTTTTGAAGTATGAAGGAATCCTAATTTCATCCCCTAAATTGACACTTGAGACCACTGCCCTCCAAAATCCTGCACAGTTTCTGTATGGTGAGCCTCGCTTGGAATTAGCACATGATTGCCTCCAGCAAATAGAAGAACAAATAAAGATTAGACCAGACCTGGAGGGGGAAGAACTGGAAACGGGGGATAAGCTGTTTGTGGATGGATCATCCAGGGTAATTGAAGGGAAAAGAAGGTCGGGATATGCTATAATTGATGGGAAAACCCTACAGGTAAAGGAATCTGGTCCCCTGAGCCCCAGCTGGTCTGCCCAGGCATGCGAATTGTATGCAGTATTAAGGGCTCTAAGATTATTAGAGGGAAAGGCGGGGACAATTTACATTGACTCAAAATATGCCTACGGTGTCATGCACACTTTCAGGAAAATTTGGGAGGAAAGAGGTTTAATCAATTTACAGGGTAAAGGACTGTTGCATGAAGAACTTATAAAACAGACTTTGCAGGCAATAAGGGGTCCAAAAGAGATAGCTGTAGTGTACGTACGGGGACACCAGAAGGGCATGGGAAACACAATCAGAGGAAATAATCTAGCTGACCAGGAGGCAAAAAGAGCGGCACTACTAACTTTAAAATATAAACCAATGAGCATGCAACGGGAGAATTGCACCACCTGTGGGGGTGGTTTGGAATGTTTTTGTGAAAGCCCTGAGGAGAAATATTGCTGTTCACATGGCCCAAAATTAATTTTAAAATTTAATGTTCAAGAAAAAGAAAAATTGGACCGAATGCAGGTATGGGAAAAAGAGGAAGGTAAATGGATATTACCTGATGGTTGGGAGGTGTTGCCAAAAGCGATGGCATTGAGAGTATTACAGGCAATGCACGGCAAAACGCACTGGGGAACTCAAGCACTAATAGACCAATTTGCTATTAAATATATGTGTATAGGGGTACATAACCTGGCCAAGCAGGTAACCAGTTCCTGTCTAACCTTCTTAAAGGTAAATAAGCAGCAGCAAAGAGAGAGAGAGTGATGGGTAGTCGGGAGCTGGCTCACAGACCCTTTTCTCACGTACAGGTGGATTTCACAGAGTTACCTAAAGTAGGAAGGTATAAGTACTTGCT